ATAACTTTACATCCTTTAAAATGATACACACTTTTCCAAAAAGAATTGCCACTAAATTTTGCTTTTGCTGTAGTGTCAAGGTGAAAAGTATTAGAAAATTTTTGCATTGGACTAACAAATTTTTTAAACAATAATAATTTTGACCTAAATTGGCCCAATCTGATTAGGCTAGTCCCATGTGAACTGGATCATAATTGACAACGTTTGTCTCTAGCTCCAAATTATCGTGATTAATTTTATATAAATTTTTTTTTCTTGAATTTAGCTTAAAATTGTTACTTTTAAACCAATTTCATATGTTTTAAATAATAAATTTTTTAATATAAATTAATTAAATAAACTATTTAAAAATAGCATTATTTTTAGACTCTAATTATATAAATAAATAGAGAAAATGCACACCAACCTAAATAATTTACCACGTGTTCAGAATGAGGGTTTTGGGCTTGGTCTGAAGCTTATTCTCTCAGTCCCGCCACAAAACTGTGGACTTTATTACATTACCCTTACTCCTATGCACACTCATCTCATAATGAGGAATGAGCTAGCTACACCATGTGAGTGGGCCTCGCTGCACAATAGTTTTAGGTCATTTTTTGCACTAGAAAAATCTGTTGTCCCCCTATAAGTACCATTTCCTACACTCTTAAAAGGGGCTGCGTAACTTAATACTATTTCACTTGGCATTTTAGTGACCGACCCCTTGCTCCACATATATCCCTATTATTATTGAGGCTGTGCAAGATAACCAAAACAACTAAACTCTTTGGAGAATTCAACATCATTGTATTTAAAAGATCTAATTTTTTAAATATTAGTTCATGAACTAATCTGGTTTTAAAAAATATTATGAAGTGAACTGGTTTAAAAAGCAAGTTTATGAACCAAATTAGTTTTTTTTTGGTTTAAAAAGTTAGTTTATCAACCTAATTATTTTTCTTCTTTTATTTCTTCTTTTTGTCTCTATTTTTCTTCTTTTAATTATTTATTTATTGTCTTTTTTTTCTTATATGCTTTTCTCTTTTATTTATCTTTATTTTATTGTTTTTCTTTTTAATTGTTTGTTACTTTTTTAAATTTCTATATCATTTATAATTTTTTTTTATCCTTTTTTCCCTTAATCTTTTCCAACTTTTCATTTTGGTTTATCAGCTACCAACCTCTCAATTAGTTTGTGATAAATATGTTGTTAATGAACCGAACTGAATTTTTTAAAAATTAATTAATGAACTGAACTTTTTTTTGTGTTATTCTATTTTTTTATCATACATGATGCTTCACTTATCATATTTAATTATTGTGCAAAACCTATATACAAGCTCTAATATTGATAATCCTAAGATATTTTGACATGTTAGTATATCAAATCCAATTTATTGGACTACAATTTTTTATTCTATTGTTATAAATGATTATTATAACAGAACCAATTCTGAAATGGTTAAAAAAAAGTAAATCAATTTAATTCTCTGAATGAAATTATTTTTTCTAGTTCAGTCCTGCGAACTGAATTATTTTTTCTAATTTAATTTGATTCAACAAAAGAAACTGAATTAAACTGCACACATCCGTGCAAATTAATTGAGGTCTTATATTTCATATTTGAGTTTCCCAAGTCCATCAAATATTGAGCTTGCCTTACCATTTAGGGTTATCATCCCATTCCTACACATACTTCATGTCACAACCTACATAAAGTTGAATTAGACTAATAATTTATGAGCCTCAACTACATGTTTGGCACGTTACATACTGTATCACAATTAACTCAAATGAGTTTGATTGACTTAAATTAGTATCCATAATATAGGAACCCTAGTAAGTGATAGAGTCAGCATCAAATAGATGTTTTTAGCACCCAGTCATCATCTGCCTCAGAAATTGGAATAGGACTTTGCAACGTTCCACACCAGCAAATTTAGGAAAGAGTAAATGACATAATACACTTGGACGAGCTATATTAATATGAAGTACATAAATTTCTTACTGAAGCACTTTTTACCATTTTTCCTTATCTAATCCTAAAGGTCAAAGTACCTTGTCTGCTTTTTCTTCACAATACCAAATTTGATTTAATTTAAGCAGATTGACGCAAAGTCTTTTTCGTGCTTGATTGACGAAGTCTGATTCATACAGATATGAGTTGCAACATAATAATTGTATTATTCTATTATGTATTTTGTAGGTGTTCATCAACCAATCCAAACCGATTCAAACCGCGGTAACCGAACCGAAAAATCGATAACCGAATAAATTGAAAATCGAAAATCGAAAAATCAAAAACCAAAAAAAATCCGCAAATTTTAATTTGGATTGGATCGGTTTTCGGATTGGTAAATGAAAACCGATCCAATCCAAACCAATCCAATATATTAATTTCTTTCTACCTACTTGGGTATTTCCCTAATCATAGCCCAAAAATTTCTAAACATAAGACCCATTAACCCATCTACTAGACCTAAGAAAAAAACTAGTCACATCTTATCAACAAAATTTCGTCTATGTAGAGATTCATATCTCATTTTCCAAAAAAAATAAAATATTATCGTTTACTGATGCTTTTGTATTTAAAAAAAATAAAATTACAAAGTCAATATATACAAAAGATATTATTCATGAAACAATTTTTAGGATTTTAAAAAATCGAAAATCGATCCAATCCTAACCGAAAAAAATTGGATTGGATTGGATCGGATTTGAAAAAAAATCCGAATCGAATGGATGATTACATGATCAAACTGAAGGAATTAGATCGAATGATTTTTGTTTCCAAAATCGATCCAATCCAGACCGCGAACACCCTTAGTATTTTGTACGTTATTGGAATATTTATAAAAAATATAAATTAAAAATTATTTAAGAAAAAAATAGTTTATTATATATAATATTATTTTACTAGAAATAAATAATTAAATTAAAATATAAACAACACAAATTTTTGAACTTTTTGTTTTGAAAACTTTCAAAAATTAGTTTAATGCATAGAAGATTATTTTACCGGTAATTTTGTAAATGTCTCATTGTGTTTAATATCAATTGAACAAATTTGAGCATTGAATACAGAAATTAAAGAAAGAAAATTTTTATGTTCCAAAAAAAAAAAAAAAAAAATTAAATAGATAACTAATCAAAGAAAAAATATTAATTTAATTTGATATGGGAGTTTAGAAGTAAAATGAGAAAAACGTGTAATTACATTAGAAGGAAGGAGAGTACTTGCATAGATTATCTCGCTCTTAATATAAACTTGAATTTATTTAAATGGTAGTTGATCAAACTGATTCTGTTGTAAGATACAATTACCAGTTGTATTTTTATTCGTCTTCACAAAGGATCATGGATTGGACAAATTTGGTTAGTCGGTATTTCTGATCACATATATATTAAGCATTAGTCTAAGTCTCTTAACTAATATTTATATGCTCAAGTAAGCATAACATATGCATCACAGCATCAGGCATTTAAAATTAGTTAGTCTTCTTCAACTAGGCTGATTAAATTAAATAAGTAACTTCTATCAAACTAATGATCAACCAAATCATGTTCTTCTGTAGCTGTCTCATTATCTTTTTTCTTTATAAAAGGTCAAATCACCTATATCAATGTTGATAAAAAGAATATTAAAATTGATGAAAGACAATGTTGATAGTGAGATATGCCGGCATTAGACATAAATTTAAGGTTTCCAGTTTGTTTCCTCATGCTCCATACTAATGAGACAGGTAATATGACGTTATTGAATGTTACTCAATGCACATAAATTTGTAATTAATATAATATAAAAAATATATTTGTCATTTTAAAAGAAATTGTTTTGAGTGAAGCAATTATATTTTAATACACGGTTTTTTATATTCTCTTTTCTATAATATTTTATCTTTCTCTTTATTTCTAATTTTGTGAAAGAAAGAATGTAAAAAGTTAATAAATATATACAAAATATTATCGTTTCACTAAAAATTACACAAAATTGTAGCTACAAATGCTTTTCCTTAAAAAAATTATATAATTATAATTTTTCTTTGAAAGGTATTACGGTTTATATTTGAAACTAGAAGTGAAGGGTTATTATGTGATTAATGTTTATCCTTTTAAAGATATAGAATTGTGTCATTTTAATCAAAATTATTGTATTTTATTGTGAGAGAAACAAAAAATTATGATAAGAGAAAAAGATATTTTTTAATTTAAATATTAAAAAAATATTGATTTTAACCAAAATGATTGTTCTTTAAAATGATAAATATTTTCCCCAATTTTTATTTTTTAAGTTGTTCTTGAAATAATGACTGTTAAGTGTTAACCAATAAAAGTATGACTATTTATTGTGAAAAATAATTATTTTGTCTCAAGATTTTGAACAAAAATAATTATATTTTATCATTAAGCAATTATCCTTCTCGTTTATTATGATTTTATAAAAAAAAAAATTCATACAAGGATATATCTGTGTACCTCAAATTTTATTTAATATTTCTTTAAAAAAATTGTTAAAGAGGGAATTAGTAATATTTTTAGTGTTTATCCTTTTATGAGAAACTAAAATCATGATGAATAAAAAAAAATACTAATTTTAACTAAAACAATTTTGCTTCACAAAATATTTTTCCCAACTCAAAATAATAACAATTGTTGCACAATTTTTCTGGAGTTGTTAAAACCGTTAAAACGGCGGTTAGAACCTACCACATCCTTACATCCACATCCCCATCATGTTCTCCATCGATTCTACACAGCTTTGATCCTCACCGTTCATCATGTTCCTCATGCTAAAAAACAAACGGTCAATATCACTATATCTCATCCAAATACACTTTCTCATCCGCACCGAACATAACCCCCACTTCTGTAACGTTAACATCTTCCCCCGAAAAAGCAAAAGGTTATTATAGTAATTTATCAACCTTCGAAAAGAGTCTTTTTCGTTTCTATTATTTTTCTTCTGCTTTCTCTGTTCTTCATCTTCCACTACATAGAGCTCTGTGCTATTGCTCTCTGAAGCGAACACGAACATGGCTTCGTCAATGGCGAATCTCCAATAGTGAGTTCCTGAGTCAAATCATTCACTGAGTCGTGCCACCGAGTCAGATCTTTCAGCATGTTGGACGGCCTGCTCGGTCGAGGATTCGCCGCAAAATGGTTCAACACTGCGATTTCTCTGCTTCTTTGCTTGTTATTTATTACTTGATTCGGTTTCTGTTGAAGAAACCGTGGAAGAATTTGAGGATGTAGTCATGATACTTGTGATGCGTTTTTATTTATTTATTTATTTGCAGCAAATCGTTGATCAAATTGACGAAGAACCGGATCGATGTGATAAGGAGGAAGAGGAAGGCGACGGAGAAGTTTCTTAAGAAAGACATGGCTGATCTGCTGGTGAACGGTCTAGATGTCAATGCATACGGAAGGGTAATTGCTTTTTTTTCTTAATATTTTTCTTTTGGTTTATTGCAATTTATAGATTCGGTTATGTGAGATTCTTCACTGGAATAGATCTCTGAGGTCAATGTTAAACTTTTGAATTCTTTTCATTTGATAATTTACCGTGAAAAGAGCACGCGAGTTTTGGTCTTGCTTGATTCTACTTATAGTCAAAGGATGCATAATGGTTTCTGAAAATCTTTTGGCGTTTTGAAACTCTGTTTTTTTCAGTTTAGAATGGAACTTGAACAAGCTGAGAACCGTTTTTCCGTTTAAAGTATGTGAAGGGTGAATATCTATATACTGTAACTGTTATTGTTTAATTGAAAGGGACCTTAGGACTTAGGAGAGTTTTAACTGTGCGAATGATTATTGTGTTTGCAACAAAATAATTTTTCAATTTAATATTTATCTTGCTCGTGAGGTGGTTATGCAGGCTGAAGGACTCATTGCTGAGTTGACATTATCATCTTGTTATGATTTTGTTGAGCAATCCTGTGATTTTGTGTTGAAGCACCTCTCGGTGCTGCAGAAACTGAGGTATGAATTGCTAAACATAGCTCTGGACGTAATCTATTTAATAGGGTTTTGTGTCATGAAGTGATGGTCAGACTTCAGTGACACCTCTTCAATTTCTTTTGTAATAACTCGAACTTTTATTAATAGGATTTCTTGTAATTGGAATTTCAACTCTCAAGTTTACATAATTGAATTTATGTATCTAGACTTAGTATAAAATAATGCCCAATGGTTTTCATCTGAAAATAATAATAATAATAATAATAATGATGATGATGATGATAATAATAATAACAATAATGGTCCATGTGAAGTACAGAAAGGTGAAAGAATGGCCTAGAAATTTTTATTACCTAGGTAGCATAGATTTTATTATCAGAATTTATGTTTTGTCATAATTATTTTGAGCTGATTTTCTGATTACTGGCCAAAATTTTTTTGTACTCATAATTCTTTTGATAAGAGTGGAGCAGGGGGAATGTTGTTCTCTAATAATTTCTGTGGAATGTGAATTTTAGCTTCTTTTTAGTGCATTGATATGCTTTGTTTGGATACTTCTTGTTTCTAAGTGTTGCTAAACTCTTGGGGTTGGATAGCCATTTCAATTTTTTCCTCGTATGTCAAACTGAAACATTGACATTCTTGAACTGCTTTGATTTCTTTTACAGTGGATGCCCAGAGGAGTGCAGGGAGGCTATATCCACTCTGATGTTTGCCGCTGCAAGATTTTCTGATCTACCAGAGTTACGTGATCTTCGGCAAATCTTTCAGGAGAGATACGGAAATTCCCTAGAATGTTATGTCAATCAAGAGGTCACTCTTCATCTTTTACATTTCATTAGAATTTTAGATATTTCTGACTTATACCTGAACTGACTCATTAAATTACTAATTATCAGTTTGCTGCAAATTTGAATTCAAAGTCTTCTACATTGGAGAAGAAGGTCCACTTGATGCAGGATATTGCTTCAGATTTTTCAATAAAGTGGGACTCAAAAGCTTTCGAACTGAGGATGTCGAAATCCTCTGCTTTTGCACAGGTGTTGTCTTCAGATCTCTCTCTCTCTCTTTCATATTTTATATTAGCTTCGTAGTCAAATTGAAAATTTTGCCAATTCTTAATTTACTTTTTCCCCCCCTATTATTATACAAAATTACTTTCCTCCACATTGTTTTTATTTTCCAGTTGGGGAACCATGTTGAGAATGTTTGTAAAATTGTAATTACTTGTATATGTACCAAAGAAATATGTATGATTGTGCAGGGCCACAGTACTTTTAAGTCTAACCATACGACTGATTATAATAAACCATCGCAAGGCAAGGATGCTACCCCAAGAGGAGTCAAGTATGAGATTTTGTCAGAGAAAAGACCTGACTATCCTAATGATGGGCACAAATTTCAGAAAGGCAAGGAAGCTGTTGTTTCAAAAAAAGATGGAAATCATCTTCATTCTACATCCAAACTCCCTGAAAATGGATTCAAGCCACTAACTAGTCATGATGAAGTCAATCTGAAAAGGAATAACCATGGAAATCCATTATCAGGAAGAGAAGAACTTACTTCTAAGAAGAGTGATAGGGGTTATTGGAAGGAGGGTAGTATGATAAAACCAATTGCATGTTCATCTCAGGATAAAAGAGAGGAACAATTTGAAGGTGGTTCGAATCTGCATGATAGTTGGGGGAATGCCACCCGTGTAAGAGAAAGCCAAGATGCTGCCGCTGCTAGGAAGTCTCCTAATCATGCAGGATTTTGTTCAAAGAACAATGTGAACGAGCCATTTGCTGTTAATCATGGTGGCCTACCTAATGTTGATAACTCAGACAGAAAAGATCAGAAGGATGAAACTCCTAGGGTAAAGTCTTACTACAATAATGCCATCCCACCTCCTTATGTAAAACCTAATTCCAAACTGAAGAACAGCACACGGGGAGCAAATTTAGTGTCTTCACATATAGACATCCCTACATATTCTTCGATACAGGAAAAGCCTGATGCTGCTTCTACATCAGAGAGGATCCAGTTAGGTTTGAATAATTCTGAATGGGATTTACAGGCCAGTAGACATGCAAGACTGAGTAAACAGGGTCACGAAAAAGAACTCTCTAATCACGAAGAAGCTACAGAAGTCCCTGTATTAAAACAAAAATCAATGAGGTCGAAGCACTCAAAATCACGATCTACTCACAATGATACTAGTAACGAAGATGCTGAAGTTGTGAGAAAATCAAGGAGCAGGAGACGAGATGAATCAAGAAGAGGCCTGCAAATTTTGTTTGATGATGAGCAACATAAAACTGAGGAGGACGAAAGGATAATAGATAAATTACTGATCCATTATAGCAACAAGCCATCCATCCCTGTGCCTGAAAAGGCAAGACGAAAGTCTAAAAGTCGCCATGCACATCAAATGGATAACTCTACCAGGGAATCCCCAAAGAATGGTAGAAGAGATGGACCTGATGAAACACCAGGCATGGTTACTGGTCCACCACGTTCAGTCTCCCTTCCTCATGAACAAACAGAAGCTGTGGAAGTTAACAAGGCATTTGCTCGTGCTGCTTCTTTTCAGCAAGATAGATCAAACGAAGCTCGGCATGTGCATCCCAAGCTACCTGACTGTGATGATTTAGCTGCTAGGATTGCGGCCTTGAGAGGAACATAAGGGGGGATAGAAGTACAATGAATAATTGCTCCTCCTTTACCAGCGTGATTGCAGTGATTATGAATATGATCATCATGCTTTAATCTCATGTGCCGTTGGTATAGTTGAAGGTTGAACGGCGGTGCTTTAAATTCCAAATTGTTGACTACTCCACAGCTTGTATTTTAGCGGCCATGGCCGTACCTGTGTTGATTGACAATATTCTGTCATCATTTTTTCTTATGGTGGCTATACGCAACTTGAATTCAGTTTTTTTTTGGGTCTATGATTGTAAGTGTAACAGAAATTCATGGTGTTCCTATTTTCTACGAGTTGAGTATAAAAGTTGAGATATGTGGTAATGTGTCGAAGTTCTTTTTTTATTCATCTAATACCACGCAAACATGAATTTGATTATAGTACATTATTACCGTTGCTGCAGTGGTTTTATTTAACTGTAAAGAAATAAGTGAAATTAATCCTGAAATGAGCAATGTGGTGGAAGTTGGGAACAGTGACCAAAGTGTGGCAAATATTTTACCCAAATGCTATACTAATAGCATTTTTTATCAGACTATCACGCGCCATGTAATTTGTTACGACCGGTAGCGAATTATGTTTGTCTATGATTTCGTGATATGTGATTATATTGCGTACCAAATTCGTTACCACTAGTAGTGAATTTCGTCTAGTCAGCTTTTTTCTGCGACAATATGTCATGTGTCACAAAATTATTAGCGAACGTAATTTACTACCAGTCATAGCGAATTACGTCATGTGACAGTTTAATAAAAAATATTGTTCACATGATATTTGGATAAAATTTTTGTCCAAAGAGTGACACTTTCTTCAATATTCCGTGGAAGTTGAGGAGTAACTCTTAGTTTTAAAATATCTTTATTCATACTTAAGAAATAATGTGATTGCTTGTTTCGGTAAAATTTTCAAAAGTAAGTGTGTTCGATCCTGCAAATAGAGTGACTGGGGTGGTAATATGTTTTTTGGGTACAGTCAATTTGGATTGTAATTTTGACAGCTTATCATAAATTAAAATTTTCTTTAAAATGTTTACATATAAATTTAAATACATTTTTTATTCTTAATTTTTAAATATGTGGTCAGCAGATCCAACAAATTTAGGCATTTCGACCCATTGAATATAAAATGAAAGAGCTTTTACTGAATTAATTCAAAATCCAAAAGTTTTACCAAAATAACGCAATAAGATATAGCGCGGGAAGTCATGCATAGCTTGTGTGTACAATTTGAACGCGTACATCCTACGTGCGATTGACAATTATATTACAAGTGTAATATCTCGGACGCTGACGAGGGCGGGGAGTGATCGCTGGTACGAAGACTCGCAATAATTCTGAAATGAATAAACTCATGGAAAGTTTTTTCAGAAAGTGTGGGAATGAAGAAAAAACACACTAAAATGTCATGTGTTAATATATGAAAATAATCATTGATTCTTGAAGGAGTGTTACAATGAGTGACATTAGATGGTGATATTCTTTGAGATAAAGATAATGTTGGTTACATGAATCTCCAAAAAAGAAGAAGAAGATAATATTAGATGTTGATGAGTTAATGGTCATAGACAAACGTAGGCGGCCATTATACCTCATATCATTTAACAATAGTTTTTGATCTCCAGGTGGATTTAGTACTTCGCGCATGTTTGGGTGGGTAAATTTACTTCGATAGATTTTTTTTTTTTTTTATATTGCATACTTAATTCCGCTTAACTAAAATTTTGAGTTTAAGTGATTATGAATGTAAAAAAATCATCTTATAGTTTATAAATTTTATTTTAATGTTAAGTAAAACTATAGCAGATTGACCAATCTGACCTTTTGTCAGAACTCCTAACTGGTTCAGAAACAAAAGCCTTTACCCTTCCCTAGGACCATAGAATACCCTTTTCAAGATTCCCATCCTTTTACATTACCACCACCTGTGCACCACCACTCCTTGTCAAAGGTTAAAAAAGAAAAAAGAAAAAAGAAAAAGTACTGTTTCCCGCCAAAAAATAAGGACCCTCCCCTATATTACTGTTCCTCCTTTTACCGCCACATGTTCCAAAGAAGAAGAGATACTCCAAATTCCAAAGTGATATGAAGGGCACATCCAAAGTGATAATGGGAGCAACCTTGGTAATGGTTGTGACCCTTGCTGTGGTTCTAGGCCTCATACTCGTGCTTTTAGCTGAACTCTATTGTTCTCTCTTACTCCGCCGCCGCCAGCTCAGAAACACCAACTCCAACACCATCCCCACCGCCACCACTCAAACCACAACCACAACAACCATAGACAATGCTTCTTCCCCTTCACATGAACCAAACCCTCAACAACACTCTCCTCCTCCTCCTCCACCATTCAGCACTATTTATTCACAAGGTGTCCTTCAAGCTCCCAGAAGCTTCCTTTATCCTTCAGTTTCATGCACAGAGAAGAAGCCAAACCACCATTCTGAGCTTCATGATAAGGTCATTGAAATCCAAACGCAAGAATCAAATGCATCACCACTAGTATCATTCTTATCCAGAGCTCCCCCAAAGCCAGTTCAAGAAGAAGAAGACACACTTCAAGGTAGTAGTGGAGACCACCACTTTGTGTACATTTCCAACCCCATTTATGAAAACGAAGAAGGAAGAACAAGTGATGCTAATAATACCCCATTTGAGACACCAGACACTTCACCCTCTCGTTTAGAAAGAAGTGGTTCTTCTGGGGATGATGATGATGCTCATTCACCTACATATACACCTCCTCTTACTCCAATGAAGAAGCTCCCTACAGAGGCTTGTTCTGTTTCTCTTAAAGATGCCACGTCCTTGAATACTTCAGGCAGTGATTCACATAGCATCAATGGTCTCTCTTCTTCATCCTCTGGTTCCCCTTGTACTTCTCCTTCATGGTGATTAGACTAGACTATGATTCATCAATGGCCTAGTTAGATTGTGAAATCTTTTTTTGTTTTTTGTTTTTTCATTTTTTAGGAGGGTTTGTTTTGTTTTGTTTTGTTTTGTAATGTGGTTGGTTTGTGAATAATATTATTAATGCTGGTAACTGGTAAGATCAAAATTAGTAGCTACTTTGCACGAAAGACAAAGCTACAAGTACTTTCTACTTTTCAGGCGTGGCCATACATCTTTTAACCATGTCACACTCATGCCAACTCTACTTTTTATGTATCTATATCTTTGTGTTCTTACCATTTTACATTTTGGGAAATGCATAGTGTATGATTCTATTTGCTTCACGCTTTTGTTTGGTTTTTAAAGGAAGTTGTTGTGTTTCCTAGAATCCTAGTAGAAGTAGTAGACAAGCTCTTAATTTTTTTCCTTTTTATTTATATGATTTTGGGATTGGGAGACTGTGCACGTGAGTTTTGAAGGAAAAACTAGTATTAAAAAAAATATATTTCTTCTTGTTTTTGTTATCATATGAATCAAATGAAAATGTTAATATCTCAGTTTTCGAGGGGCCTTGAGTTATGATTCCAATGTATAATGCATTGAAGGGTAAAAACAAACAAATAATGTCACTGCAACTGCAAGCAAGGCTTTTGGTGTAGTACCCTAAGTCCACTTCGATAAGGACAACTCTAGTTGTTTTGCTGAAACTCCTATGGGCAAGAAGCTTCAGTTTTTGCATTGACTGTATTGTGTTTGTGTTTAGTCAAGTAGTTTTGTATTGTACAGAAAAAGAAAGATATTCGATTAAAACCAAGCAAAATCCAAATATGAAGTTAAAGAAGTGATATTTAGATAAAAAAAAATTAGCATGCACTGATTTCCATAAATATTTTATTAATATTAAACATGCATAAAGTATTGTAATTATGTTAAAATTGCATTCATTACTAAAATATGCGTATGTACGTATCCCTACTTTAGAATAAGTCTCTCCTGTCACTACATTGCAGAATCATAGGTTGATGGTGTGTGAGTCTTGTTCAGAAACTAATCCTTGTACATGATTTTTATATGTAAAAGTAATGTAAGAAAGGAACAAAGTGCAAAATTCATTTCAGTACAATAATTCAGTGCAATTCTCAGTTTTTTTTTTTACATCAGTATATTTAATTTTGAAGGGGTAGGGAATGTGGTTGCCTTCTTTGTATGACATAATTTGTCGAATAATGGAGAAATTAAATAATAAGGGAGACAATGATGCTTAAACCAAAACTACATAGAAGAACTAATTTAATAAAGAAAAGAAAAAGGACAAAAAAAACGCATTGAAGGTCATATTTAATGGATTGGAATTCACATTAGTGCCTATTTCTCTCTTAAAATGAACTAATAAAATCTTGTCAGTAGCTAAACTTAGATTTTTATATATATATTTTTTTGAAAACTAATTGAAGTTATCAATATTTTATCATGCTGCATAAACGGTGTATATAGCTCCCATGCATATGCGCAAGGAAGCACGGACACTTGTAAAATCAAGAAGAGTCGGGTCCGACACGCTCCGACACGGCGACACGCTCCAACATGCTCTGACACGGTGTCGGACACGCGGTTGACTTTTTCCGACACGTTGACCATTCCGACACGTGAATTTGACCGTATCCGACACGATCAAATGACATTTTCGTAATTTTTTTTTTTTTTTTTTTTAAAAAAAATTATTTTTTTTTAAAGTTAAAATATATTAATAAAGCTTCAACCTGATCATATCAATTTTATCTTTTTGTCTTTTTTTCCCTTAAGTAGATAAGAGATCATCTCAGTATCATTGTTATCAATTCCTATCACGCTCTTGTTGTATCTTCTTCTCTCTGATCTCTCTCTAATATGATTTGATCTCTCTATCTGATATTATATCTCTCTCTCATCCCAGTTCTTATTTTTTGATTAAAGCTTCCATCTTTATAACGTATTGATGGGTATTATTAATTCAGTTTCATTTTTTTGTTAAATTATTAAATATTAAATGAAATATACACTATATAAATTAAAAATATTATTTAATATTAAAACGTGTCCCAACGTGTCGAAATCCATAATTTTTTAGGATTGACGTGTCGGAGTGTCGTGTCGTGTCGTGTCACGTGTCGAGTGTCGTATCGGTGCTACATAACATATGCGTCTTTGGTTAAATTTGTTAGCTTTGGTCTTGCTGAATCATAGTTTCATACAATTTACATTGGTTTAACTCCAATGATGATAGACATTGGAGAAATGGTGGATCTCATTGGAATCCATTAACAAAGAGAAGTTTGGACTCTGAAATCTTTTTTGTAACCGGCCCCTTAATACAGTTAACCAAAAGTAGTCATGTCTAATTCTCTATCCTTTCAATTTTGTTTTCCAATGAAAGATGCAAATGGTGGATCTCATTGGAATTGATCCATTAATTGACAAAGAGAAGTTTGGACATGAATGTATTATGATTGGATTAATACGGCTAATCAAAAGTTATTATCTCTATCCTTTCAATTTGTTATCCAATGAATAATGATAACCAATTAACTTCAAAGCATGTGATAAGATCTAATCAAGTCAAGCTCGTGTAGCCTTGACATGGTTGATTTGTTTGTTCCCTCATTGTTTACTGTATACAAATATCACATGTTGCAGTAAAATCAAGCTTGTTAAAGTGTTATGAATCAGGGTGAAATCTTATTTTATAGTCTTTCATTTGAACATATTAATTGGCAGTTAGTTTGTGTGGGGCTTAAACTGAATACCGTGGTTCTCACAATAGCATATCAATTATTTATGGGTTTTATTAATCTCATGCAATAGGAGAGAACTCTCTTATGTTATAGAGACAATTATGTGTGGGATCCACCCACTTACAAAAAAGATAAAAAGATAAAAAAGTAACACGAAAATTGATGTATGTATAGAAGATAAAAACACTCTCCTACAACATAAGAGTATATTTTCCCATTATTTATTGGGTTCCTCTAATAATGGTTTATCCCAAAGAAATGGACACAACATTTGAAATATTCAACAAAAGAAAAATAAATAATAATGTTGTAAATAAAATAGAACGATTACATTGGACAAACTTGTATGAGCACATAAAGAAACCCAAAGGTCAATTAGGAGCAGGTCAACTCATGAGAGGATTGAGTGATGATAAACGTTGGGCCATCACTGCAACAGTACAATTATAAACTTTCACTTCAATTATGTGCATGTGATTCCTTAATGAGCAGAGGCCATTGAATTATGTTTCCAAGTTTATATATAACGGGGAAGGTTATATTTATAAATATTTTGTTTACAAATTACACTATATCTTACCGGTAAGATACTCTTGAGTGAAGTCTTACCGGTAAGACATTATGTAATTTGTAAGTTTGTAAAAAAAAGTTTGTCAACATAACCCTTCTCATATACAATAGATATAAAGGATGAATTCTGATGCACAATGTTCCTCAACTTTTCCATACTCAAATCTATGACTTTCCAATTACGAAGAGCAACCTTACCACTACTCCAAGCCTAGATATTTCCAAAATTAATTGATTCATTAAGCGCAACAAAATAGTTTTATACTATCTTGAGGTCTGTTATGAATTTGAATAAAAACTTTTATAAGCTTCGTATGTGCAGATGTTTGTTTTAGTGGTCCCGGTACACATGGTCCCATACATAAAGTAGCAAAGGATAAGGGAGTGGGAAGGAATTTTCAAAAAAGTGAGGGACAAAAAGGAAAGCACATTTTTTCAAAAATAGAAAAGGAATCACCCTAAAAAAATAGTCCGGGATCACTTTAAAAAATCCTGTATGTGCAATGACACGTCTACAAATGTGTTTACTGTTTATCATAGCTGTAATCAGCAACAAGAATGTGCAACTTGCCTGAAGGTGACTTATTCATCAATTGATTCAAACTGACGTGACCGAATCGAAAAATTAATAATCGAATTAATCGAAAAATTAATAATCGAATTAATCGAAAAATTGAAAATCATAAAAAAATTGTAAATTTTAATTAGATTAAATCGATTTTTGGTTTGGTTGGTGAAAACTAATCTAATCTAATATATTAATTTCCCTCTATCTATTTGACCTATTCCCCAAATATATGTGTTAATCTCAACAATAATTAGCTACTTTCCAAATATTCCTACCCTCAAACCAGACCAAGTTACAACCCTGCAAAGACTTTTTGATCAGTTGTGCATGTTATATGCGTTCCTCATCTTTAGAAACTTGAGAATAAGATCAAGCTTATAGTAATACTATTGCATTGAAGGGTTGAGTGATTAAATCCAAAACACTTGAGTGATGAGTGTATGACATATCTTAGTGAGAGGTATTTAAGTTAGAATCTAGATTCCTTTTTGAAACTGAAAGAATTTGTTTGAAATTCTCAGTATGGAAAAACATTCATGCTTAGAATAATAACTCTGGAATTATTGAATGCAATATTATGCCTAAGCCACATGTGTTCTTCTCACAGATTTAATCCTTGCTGCCTATTGTTTGATCTTGTTTATTGCTAAGGACAACAATGTCTAAATCTGGGAATTGTTTGATATGCCTCCAGCATATATAGTTTTCTAAGTTAAAAAGAGCAAGGATTTAATCCACTTTGAAAGAAAAAATGCTTAAATTTGTTATAAAGTTGATAAGCCATACTCAATTCTTCTCTCATTGAATTTTTGTTGTTTTGTAGGAAAAAAAGACTAGAAAAGAACATGTTGTTAAGCACCAGAGAAAGCAAGTGCGGGATCTGCGCTACAAGCGTGGAAAATTTCTCAGAAGACAGAGCGAACTGATAAAATTACCCCACTCCCTTGCTCGAACGAGCGAGCAATTGAGCGAGATATCTAGTTTACCTCGCCAGTTTGCTCGAACGAACGAGCAACTGAGCGAGCATCGTCGTAAATGGAGGCTCATGGATATTTTTATTAAAAAGGACGACCTAGGGTTATTCTATTGATGATCTTTGGCTGGAGACTTTGGAGGAGATCAAGAAATTGAGAGAATTCTTGGAGGCTTACGTTGGAGAACAGGATTTCAAAGAAACTGAAGATTGAAGACCTCTGATTCTCCTTCTTCTTTTTCTTGTTGTTGTTCTTTATCTTTTCTTTCATCTTATGAATTCTTTTTACTTCTTTGTTTTGATTAAGTCAGACATGTCTGGCTAATTTTCCTTTGTAGTTAAGGTTACGGATCTGATATGAATCCTTTATGAATTCTGAATTATTTTTACAATTATTTTAATTCAATTAGTTTTATTTTACCTTGCATGAGTTTTATATAACCTTGTGAGATGTGATCAATTTTATAGGGTTTTGAGGGTTAGAGTTCGCAATAGGCATATTGGAGTTTTAATTTTGACAAGGGTAAAATAAAAATTTGTGCATGATCTAGATATAGGCTTGTATGAATTGCAAACTTTTTAATTCATCGAACTTAATGCTTAATTCAAGAAGGATTACTAGGACACTAGGGTTCTAATTGGGTTAAAGAGTTAAATACACTAAAACATTAGGGTTTAATTAACTAATTTGAAGAAGATGAATTGTTTGAATTGTTGTGTTAAGTAATTATAAGAATTAATTTAGATTTATATAGGAGGAACAAATGTGAATTATACCTTGACTACAGTTTGTCATTGCAGTTTCTTTTCTCATAATCATTCTTTACGTTCTTGAATGCTCTTGATTTTCTCTGCAATTAATTTCAATTATTTTTCTTTTAATTCAAAATATATTTTCTAAACCAAATTGGATTGTCCAAATTAAAGAGAATAGTTAGGATAGTACTTGGTGCATTAATCCTCGTGGGATGATACTCTTCTCACTACGTTATTACTTGAAACGATCGATATACATGTTGTAATAGCAACAGTGACCGAATCAAAAGATCAAAAATCCAATTAACCGAAAATTGAAAAAAAATAAGAAAATTTTAATTAGATTGAATCGATTTTCGATTTGGTTGGTGAAACCGATCTAATATATTAATTCTCTTCTACCTATTTGACTTATTCCCCCAGTCATAGCCCCGAAAATTCTAAACGCAATAACCCATCAACTAAACTCGAATTGTATTAATTTCCCTCTACCTTAATGCCTAATTGTTGTCGACACATCTTTTTATGTTTTTCATAATATGAATCAAATGATTTAACTGTTATTTTTTCAATTCTACATTTCGGCTGCTATATTAGTTTCTCCATGTTGTTAATGCATTTTTGTTTAACTTTTCGATTTTTAAGAAAGAAAGAAATATACTTTATTTTATACCAAATGTTCTTTTTTTTCTCGTTATTGGTCCATTCTAGCAAGTTTTCGTTATTATTTGCCATTGCGATTTTAACCTTTGGATAAAATACAATAAAAGTATGAATTTTTTGCTATATAAATATAGCTTTTCAATTGAGTTAAGGATTTGTTTTTATTTAGTTTTATAATTTTTATGTGAACGTGAAACTACTATAAAATTTATGTGCCAAAATCCGAAATAAAAAATTGTTTTAAGATATCTCTGTATTAGTAATTGAGATTAATTTTTCTTACTTTGTTATTGTCTAATTTTCCTTCTTATCCAAGAGGTGATAGATACTTGAAATAGAGTTTTCCCAGGTTCAACTTTTTGTTGTTTTACATTGAAAATTAGATTATCGTGTAATGATGCTTCTAGATTGCATTGTGTTTCTTTTTCCTAAAGGTAATCGAGACAACTTTATCTAATATTCACTGAAACGACATCGTTTTTGGTTGAAATCATGATGTATTTATAATTTTAATTTGTTTCATGGTTATAATAGTCTTTATAATTTTAATTTTTTAATTTTTCAACCTCAGAATGACGTTATTTCAATGAATATTAGATAAAATTTTCTAAAGTAGCCTTAGATATTTTTTCCCCATAATTATTATACAAACTTTACAAAGTAGTATATACAAAAGATGAGGTAGGATCCTTTGACACCAGTGTCAAATTTGAAGTTTGACACCTCATATGAGAGCCATTAGATCATAAAAGATCAATGGTGTCACATGCTTACAAATCAGAGCCATTGATCTTTTTTGATCTAATGGCTATCAGATGAGGTGTCAAATTTCAAATTTGACACCGGTGTCAAAGGATCCTGCCTCACAAAAGATATGTTATTTGCATAATAATTATCATTTAATTTTTAAATTTTTCAAAAAATCAAAAATCAATTTCAATTCAAATTAAATAAAATAGGATTGAATTGAATAGAATTTGAAAAAAATTTCGAACTGGACGCATTAAATAAAAAACGAAGAGGGTCTTTTTAACTAAAACGCTGCACTACACTTAAAGTAAGTGTTTTTTCAAAAGAGATATTCTAGATGAATTTAATGTGAATTTATATAGGAGCCGTATAAAGCCCAATAAAGGCAAACATATAAGAGGTATTCTAGACGGTCCAATAAATGCAAATAGTTAAAAATATAAAATAAGAAAAGATTTTCGAAAGATATCAATCGATTCAATCCTAATATATCTTATGCGAATAAAGTTTGGACCCCTTAAATACATCAAAGCCCAAAATCAAACTCAATAACACAAAAAAAAAAACACAACTTTTTCGTTTTCTCTCTCATCCGTCCCTGTCTTTTCTTTTTCTCTCCCCGTCGATCCCAAAAATATTAGGGTTTCTACGCCTATATTACCAGATTGCTTGCTGCAACAATGTCTTCGTCGAGGGCAACTAGAGTGAAAAACAAAACGCCTGCAACGATACAAATCACAGCGGGGCAGATTCTTCGTGAGGCTCGGGAGCGTCAAGAGGCGGAGGAGATCCGTCCGCCGAAGCAGAAGATAACCGATGCGACGGAGCTCGGCGAGTACCGCTTGGGGAAGCGGAAAGAGTTTGAGGATTTGGTTCGGCGAGTTCGATGGAACATTCGCGTGTGGATCAAGTACGCCCAGTGGGAAGAGTCACAGAAAGATTTCAAACGCGCTCGGTCCGTTTGGGAAAGAGCATTGGAAGTTGACTACAAGAATCACACCCTGTGGCTCAAGTATGCGGAGATGGAGATGAAGAACAGATTCGTAAACCACTCGAGGAACGTTTTCGATCGCGCGGTGACTCTTTTGCCGAGGGTTGATCAGCTATGGTCTACGTAGCACCGACACGGACACTAGACACACACGATAACACTCCGACACGTTAATTTTAAAAAATATTAGATTTCGACACGTTAACACGTTTTGATATAACATAAAAATTTTAATTTATGTAATATATATTGTAGTTAATATTTAATAATTTAACAAAAAAAAATAAATCTAAACTTATAATATTCTTAAATTTTGAAAAAAAACATAATATATCCCAAATATTTATATTAAACTCAATAAAATGGTAATCGTAATTCAACGAATCTAATAATTGAAACTAAAATCTTAACGCAACGTAACCTTTGAACTTTTTTTTAATTTCTATAACACGTGTTGCAGTGTCGGAGAGTTTCGAGAGAGTTCGAGAGTCTCGGGAGTGTTCGAGAGTGTCGGGAAGTGTCGAAGACGGCACACGTCATTATGTTTGAAGTTTCGGTGCTTCGTAGGTTATGGTATAAGTACATTCACATGGAGGAGAAGCTTGGCAATGTCGCCGGAGCGAGGCGCGTTTTTGATAAGTGGATGAAATGGAACCCTGACCCGCAGGGATGGCTCTCTTACATTGACTTCGAGATTAGGTACGATGAAACTGATCGTGCTCAAGGGATATTTAAGCGTTTTGTTCAGTCTCACCCGAAGATTGGGGCTTGGATTGAGTATGCCAAGTTTGAGATGAAGAATGGGGAGGTTGTTAAGGCAATGGATGTTTATGAGAGAGCTGTTGAGAAGCTCGCGGATGATGAGGAAGCTGAGCACCTGTTTTCTGCGTTTGCTGAGTTTGAGGAAAGATGTAAGGAGACAGAACGAGCAAGAATTATATATAAATTTGCACTTCATCGGATTCCCAATGGAAGGGCACAGGATTTGTATAGCAAGTTTGTGACCTTTGAAAATGTAACACCCCGTTCTAGAACCGGTTTGTTAACATCGCATTATGATATTAAGCGCAGTTACAATCACATGGGTTCAATTAAAATCCGGATAAATTTTTCATTTTAAAGCATACCGAACTTATAATACCCAATTTCGTGATCATAACCATATTACCTTGCGGAAACAGATAAATTAGGCTTAACATCATGTTCATTTTCCATTTTTAAACCATTAATTTACTTTTTATTTATTTCACAACTTCTACTACATTGTAGGTTTCTTCATTAGCTACTCGTGGCTTCAAACCGCGCTCAAATCGGAGCACTGTAGCCCAAGTTAGGACAATTTGAAGCAACACAAGAGAGTGTTGGTCACAGGCCCCGCGCGCTTCAGCGCGCTACCGGGCGCTCAAGCGCGCGCTATCGGGCGCTAAAGCCTCCATCTGGGCGCTTAAGCGCACGGAGGCAGTAAGCATCAGGTATTCCAGTGTGGATGGGCGCTTAAGCGCGCAACAGGGCGCTCAGGCGCGCTATCCTGGGCGCTCAAGCTTCCACGGGGACGTTTTAGCGCGCAGAGATAGAAGCATCTCCTCCTTCAGTGGCGAAGGGCGCTTAAGCGCGGATCAGGGCGCTCAAGCGCGCAACCCTGGGCGCTTAAGCCCCACCCTGGGCGCTAAAACACGAGGGGGCAGTAAGCCTCCCAACTTTCTGCAGCAAAGGGCGCTTAAGCGCACGCCAGGGCGCTCCAGCGCGAGGAGGCAGAATGCTTTGGCACTCGCAGGGGCAGCAGGGCGCTTGGGCGCGCTCCTGGGCGCTTAAGCGCGCTGCCAGGGAATTCAACTCCCACATTTCTCAAGTCCAAGCCTAGGGAAAAATGCATCCCCATTACAAACCCCAATTGTCCATGCCCCAAAACTAAATCCTAGCACTCATCCAACCTCTTCTCATGAGATTTAGCTAGAATTTGGGCAGCATGACCTTTGTTTTCTCATCGTTTGCCAATTTAAACAAAAGGGTACCTAATTGATTTTCAGCCCAACCAATTCAACAACTCAATACATAACAAGCATGCATATATTGAATTTCAAGTAGGCATCATTTACATTACATATCCTTTACAAATCATAGAACTTAGCTTACAAAACACTATGATCATTCCCTTGGCTCCCATCAACAAAAGGTGTAACCAAAGGCATGAGCATAGGCTAAGTTCATCCAATGAATCAAGATATACAAATGACCATGGGCTTTCAAAACAAAATCCTATACATGTCAACTACAAAAGGCATGCATAAACTCAAAAGAAATGCCACATTTCATGCATAATCCAGATATGGCCACTTGCCACCAGAGGCTCCTGCAGCATCCTTACCTGAAAGGGGGTCCCCACAACACGGGATGAGATATACGAATATATCCAGTAAACCAGGGGTCCTTGGAGCATCTCTCCACCCCACAGTTCCATATCAGTGTAATAGCAATAACAATAATAATGCAGTAAATACATATCTATGCAAAGTGCAATACATCTCCAGGAGAAATCCCTCGAGCTCTCAAGCTGTCCTAAGGAAACTCAGATGCAAATAGTCTTACTGGCCAGCTAACTACCATGTGTGATTTACGCATCGTCATGCAACATACACACATAGGGAAACACCATCCTATGCCACACCAAATGCATACACATACGTATAACAAAGCATTACACTATTTTATTGCATTTATATACACAATCACAACCTCTACCCTTTCAGGGCTTGGTAGAGCAGTCAAGGGAATTACACCCAAGGTCCGAAGGCTTACCTCAATGCTTCAGTCGACCTTTGTTCTTCACCAACAGTTTCAGCAATCCACTTTTACAAATATACACCTATACAAGGGTAATGCAATTAACATATTGCATTCAAGGATAACTCATCATCATCAATCCAAGCTATCCTATTCATACCACAACACAAGGATGAGCTTACCAATTCCAATGAGCTATTCAAGCTCCATAGCTTGCTCCAATGGTTGATCACTCACGGTTGGTCCAAATGTCTCAATCCTAGACATCACAAGGACACAATCGATCATTCAACTCACTAATTGTTCAACATGCTAGAATACTAACCAATCCAAGCATGAATTTTCCAATATTATGAACAATTATCAAATGACTATCTAGGCTCATTTCCACCGATTAAATGTCGTTCCTAGCATTTTTCATAACATGCTCTAAGCTTAAATCTTCCTAGAACATAGTTAATTTACTCACAATTTCTAAAATTCCCACTTTACTATTCACAAAACCCTACTCATGAAATTTTCCATGAAAATAAGGTTCAAGGGTTTAAATCTTACCACCAATGGTTGCACAAAAATGATGTGAGTGCTCCTCAAGCTCCCATGGAGGTAGAAGCCACCAAAACTCCAAAATCTCTCCAATGGCCGAATTTTTGAGAGGCAATATCCCTCTCCACAATGCTCCCCACTCAAAACAAAGCAAGGATTATGAAAGAGGGCGAGATTCTAAGCGATTTCGGCTTTTGGATCACCCAAAACCATTAAGGTTTCCTCCCTCCTCTCTCTCTTCTTCTCTCTCCCTTTCTCCTTCTTCTCCTTCTTCTTCCTTTCTTCTTTGTTTCTGTCGACGGGAAAGTGGGGGGTTTGGGGCTCATTTTGGCTTTTAGTCACTTAACATAGGTTAAGTGGCTTTAAGCGGGTATTGGTTCGTCTATCTATTCAACTTCAATAATTACCAAACTTTACCCAAAAGTCTGGAATATTATTCTAGGAATATTACTATTTTTATTTTTATATTTTGGGCACTTTCAACAGTACCCATTTATACCCCTTAATTTTCACTGAGTACACTTTTTAACTCCAAAGTGACTCAGATTCATTTCATTAAGCCTTATACCTAATTTTACTCACTAAAACATGTTTAATTAATTAATTACACTTGATTTACTAATTAATTAAGATGGGCTATTATAGAAAAGCAGTATGGCTTTTTTTAATGTTACATTTTATCAAATTGAATATTTTGTGAATATTTTGTTAACTTCAAAGCATGTGGATAAGATCTAATGCACTCAAGCTTGTATAGCCTTGACATGGTTGATTTGTTTGTTCCCTCAATTGTTTTTACTGTGTACAAATATCGCATGTTGGCAGTAAAATCATGCTTGTTAAAGTGTTATAAATCAGGGTACCTAAGAATATGATAGGAAAATGAGTTTGGTAGGAAAGTTAAAAAAAAGTTGTTTGGTTGTTGAAAATTTTACTGGAAAATTTGAGTTAAAAGAGATAGCATTGTCATCATTTTTATCACCTTTTTTCCACTTGTTCACCTATATATGCAAATATCATGTTCAAGTTGGTAAACTTCAACGATGCATTTTTTGCATTTTTACACTTGATTCTCAATTGCTAGGCAAAAGAGATTGGTGAGCAAATTTTTAAAAATCCTCTACCAGACAAAGACAACATCAATTCCCAAACTCAAATGGATGGGCATCTCCACCAAAAACTTCAACTAAACACTACCTTATAGTCTTTCATTGAAGGGATTTCCACACACATATATAGATGTGTGGGGCCCATATGAATTATATAAAGAGAAGAAGAGAGAAAAAGATAGTCTTCACATGTGTAAGAGATAAAATATATTAATTTGCAGTTAGTTTGTGTGGGGCTTAAGCTGAATAGTGAATACCATGGTTCTCACAATAGCATACCAATTATTTACTGATTTCCTCTGATATTAATGGTTTATACCAAAGAAATGGACACAAAACATCTGAAAATATTCAACAAAAGAAAAAATAAATAATATTCAACAAAAGAAAAAATAAATAATAATGTTGTAAATAAAATAGAAAGATTACATTGGACAAACTTGTCTGAACACATAAAGAAACCCAAAGGTCAATTAGGAGCAGGTCAACTCATGAGAGGATTGAGTGATATTGGGCCATCACTGCAACAGTACAACTATAAACTTTCACTTCCATTATGTGTATGTGATTCCTTAATGAGCAGAGGCCATTGAATTATGTTTCCAGGTTTATCTGTAGAACATATAACAGATATAAAGGATAGATTCGGGTGCACAATACTACCCAACTTTTCCATATTCAAATCCGTTACCTTCCCCATCACAAAGAACAATCTTACCATTGCTCCAAGCCCAAAATTAATTGATTCATTAAGTGCAACAATATAATCTTCTTCTACTATCTTGAGGTCTGTTATGAAGCTTGATTCCAGTTTGACGTGAAGGGTTAGCTTTTGCCAATCTCTTAGCTGCAAAAATTTTGCACCTTATTGTAAGGAATAGCAGCAGACAAAACCAAACATGGGTGTTAATAGCCATTGGTGTCACCACATTCATATGTTAAGGTATGCAAGCTCACCCCACAAAAAAAAAAAAAAAAAAATTACAATGGGAAATGATGTACTGTAAATCATTTGGTAAAATTTCAAAAAACTTTCTCATTTCTTTGACTCAGCCTTACATCAATATTCAACAAAATTTGACCAAGCCAAAGCGCAATGTAACTGTTCTTACTCTATTTTTCATAGGAAATTAAACAACTGCCTCGTAAGCATTATACTTAAAAGGGTCAATGGTAAAATATTTACCTATTTCATAGAAGAGCTCATTGACATTCAGAGCTGTTTTTGCTGAAGTTTCAAGAAAAGACAAGCCGTTTTCTTTGGCGTATTGCTCACCTTCCTGCAACCATCAACAAAATTTCGGTCATATATATGAAAGATGAGTACCAAAACAAATTCTCTCACTCTTTCTAGGTATGAAAATCACCTAGTTTAGGTACCAAATTATAGAGGTTCCGAGCTCAGTTTATTAATAAAAATGCTTGTATACGCACAGTTGAAGTTAAAACAGAACATTAGTGTAAGAAAAAAAAAATACAAAAATACCAAAGTTAAAAGAGAATATATACTACATTAGAAATACCTCATTTCCCACTTCTCTCTTGTCTTCCAAATCAGCCTTGTTAGCCACCAAAAACATTGTCAAACTTGGGTTTGCTGTCATAGTTTATGAAATTAAGTAAATCCTAAAAAATGTCATACATCATTGGCAAATGGAAGATTTCAAACAACAAATAGTTCCTTAAATACTTCTTCAAACCCAAAGAGATTTGTGTGAGAATGTGTGTTAAAGGATCTAATATAAAATCATTGAATGTCCATCACTTAAATGCTTGCGTTAAATGCTTGAGTTTTTAGGTGAGATAGTTGTTTACATACCCTTGATGATGAATAGGATGCTGATGATATAAACCAAATGTTTACAAGTTTTGGTATTAGATAATTTTAGCACCAAAAAGGGTACTCTATCAGATGACTAATTTAAGCTTGGTTGCTTCTCAAGTTTGTTCACAAAAATTTGTTTTTTCTGGAGTTACCTTGTCTTTGCACTTCTCGAACCCACTTCTTTGCTCGCACAAAAGAATCCTAAGTCGGAAAGTGGACCAATTACTCTATTAGAATATTGTCACTAAAAATGTAAATAGACATTCTGCAATTGATATCCAAAGAAAGCAGCATTCTAAATCTTCTAAAGGGTAAATTTATTATAATAATCAACATGAATTAATACTCCCAGTAACATATTTTAGAAATTTTCAAGTGCCAATTAACTACCATCTTCTGAAAAAGTTTATGCTTGCGGAGAGAATGAGACATTGTGCTTTATCAACTAACTATTCATAAGCAACATCAAAATGATAATAATAAATATGACTTTGGAATCTTTATAAATAATTACCACGCTTGTGATGTCATAGACCACTATAGCAGCAGCAGCACCTCGATAATACATAGGAGCCAAACTGTGGTATCGCTCTTGTCCTGCTGTATCCCATATATCAAATTTAACTGTTGCTTCATTTAATGACAAGACTTGAGTGAAGAATGCAGCTCCAATTGTTGATTCCTGCAGCTGATACTTACATTAAAGGTAATCTCTACTATGATGATGTGAAGAAGCATATAGTAAAAGTAATAACATTAACCTGGTACTCAGAAAATTGGCCTTTCACAAATCTAAGAACCAAACTTGTTTTCCCTGTTCCCATGTCCCCAAGAAGTACCTGGGAAATCATAGATCATGTTAATAAAACATTTTCTTCTGGTAATTACACATATATCCATTTGATTATAATTTATATGAAACCATAAATGAAAAATGGGGCTTAGCAAGATTTATGGAGGTTCATAATCTCTTAGTTTACAGAAACCAAAGCATGAGGCAAGAAGAGTGCATTATAAATGATCAAAACAAAATTAAATAACTTATTCTCTCACATAGTCATGATGTTTCACATAAGAAATTTGTTAAATTTAAATTACTGATACAAGTTATTATTTTCTCTTGTCCAAGTACATCTTTTCAAGGGTTAACACCTAATTATATTTCCTCCTAGTTCCTATCTCAAATACAAGCTAATTCTATTGTATAAATGGAGCTGACCCTTTTGATAATTTATCAAATACATACCAGTTTTGCTTGTAAAATTTTGTTTCCTGTCTTCGCCATCGCTCAGCTAATCAATGGGAAAAAAAATTAAAAAATAATTTTTTTTTTTTGAGAATACTGGACAAGATTCTTCAAAGATTGAAAAGAGAATCCAAGGGAAGGAAATGGCTATGATCTAGAAAAGGTTGTTGCTATTGCAAGAGACAAAAGTCTTGTTTCCACGGAAGCAATCTTGATATGCCGGGGCAGTTACAAGTAGGAGAGCTGCAAGACTACAAAAAGGAGGGTGGTAATAGCAGAATCAGAGAAGAATGGTAGTTAGTTAATTGGACTTGTAAGTAAGTACCCTAGTTTCTAGGCTATTTTGTCATTCATTCGTATTATATATATATAGACACACACATCAATTCATTTCCACCGTTAATGGCTTTCAATAGATTAAGGATCCCATAATAGGGAGCAGTTGGAGTGCAGATCTTAGTTTCGAAATGGAGTTACTGCTCCTTGTCATGCAATTATATTCTTATGGTGCATTGATCATTTTCTTTTTATTTTTTTAAAAAAATCATCAATCTGCATCTCCTCTCTTTTCAAATTATATATCAATATATTACTGTTTGACTAAAGTTTGACTGATATTTACTCACACGAGTAAATGACTTGTCAAGTATTAGAGCTGGGTCAAACAGAAGCGAATTGATATATAATTTGAGAAAATGGTATCATTTGATAAGAGAGACAAAATAATAATAAAATTCAAAATAAGGGCAAAATGATCAATTAGCTTGTTCCTTGTTGTATTATAAGAGGCATATAAATTGTTTTGTCTATGTTAGAGGTATAACGAAGGTTGTCATATTTATTATTTGCTTAAACTTTTCGCCCATGCTAGTTGTGTCTTGGTTACATTTTTAGATTTTTCGCTTTTGTACGTGATATGTAATCCCGCCATTAATTTTTATTGTAGTTGGTGGTATTCCTTTGTTTTGGACTGCCTTCCAATTAGGCCTAATAGAAGAAGGTGTACAAAAGTGAGAAAAATATTCCATCATCTCACTTGATATCACTGCGCACTTCATGCGCTCAAGTGATGATATTTGCCACACACCTAATGGGATCCATAAGAACAGAAACAATTATGGCTCTGTTATGGAGCCATATGATGGACCCATTAAGTAGTAAGCCCAACAAGGGGCAATCCAAGATATGGATTGATGCTAGTTAAATCCTACTAATCTTAGTGTCAGCACAGCTATCCACTTGATGTGTCAGCATAGCTATCCAAACTATCTACAGGTAAACTCTATAAATACCAAGGCAAACCCTAAAGGTACACACATTCTCTCTCCCATTGTTATGCTGTCACTGTGCACACACACACACCCCATTGGCTAACGCCACTATAGTATTCTGTGCACAGTGATCTTCTTGACTCAAGGGTATCTCCCTCATAGATACCTTGGAGAGGGCGCTAGATCCAATATTAACATACTAGCCTGACTGGGCTAGACATCTCTGTCTCAAGGACAGAACATCAGCGCCGTCTGTGGGAATTTTTTTCTCTGAATTTGAATCTGAAGTTCCCATCAAATCTGAAAAGGGATGGCAATCCAGACAAGGAGCAGTAGCCAGCAGCCACCCCTAAACCAAAATCAGCCGTTGGATCCAGTCATTGAGGAGATAAATCAGCCTCATAATCAGATCGGAAACAACATGGATTACGATCATGTCCAGGTCGAAGACGATGTTTCGGACACCGCTTCAACGCCGGCACCCCGAAATGGGGGAGCTGCAACGAATGTAGCTCCTGTAAGGAGCAACCCTGCCCAGCATCCTGGCGATCTGGCTGCGCGCGTCGCTCAATCGGCCGATCCGGATACTCGGTTGGCCAACAACGCGTTAAACGCAATTATGGAACGAATAACAGCGCTGGAAACCCGTACGAACTTGCAACGACAACAAGATTTCAGGGCTATTCGAGAGGAAAATAACAGAGGGATGCAAGACCTGGAGCAGCGATTAACACAGCGGACTGCGCCAGGAATGACCAATTTCGAAGGCCAGCCTGCCTATGGCCGAGAAGGACCTAGAAACCCGGCTCAATCATACCACGTTCCTCATGCAGAGAACCCTGGTAACCTAGTAAACCAGGGGCACCAGGTCACTGATGGCCTGGATGCACAAAATCATCAAGCACATGCTGACGGTCAGGAGGACCGGGTTAGAGCTCAGTATCAACAGGATATTCAAAACATCTGAGGACGAATAGAACCTGGTGGATATAGGAGAAAGTACAGCAGGGGGCAGTATAATAATAGCCCATTCACTACTGAAATATTAAATGTTGTCTTCCCAGAGGACTTCGACTCGGCACGTTTACCGAAATATGATGGGAGCCAAGATCCTCAGGTGCACATAGATGCCTTTGACACGGACATGTATATTCGGGGAATTGATGAACCTCTCATATCCCGGATATTCGCTGTAACATTGACGGGGGCGGCACAGGCATGGTTTTCAACCTTGCCTGCTAATTCCATCAGATCCTTTGAGGAGTTCGGACAGAAGTTCCTGTTGAACTTTGCAACCAGCAAGAAGCATCCAAAGTCCGAGTTCGCTCTAGGAAAGATACGACAACAACCTGGAGAAACCCTCCAAAATACCTTAACCGGTTCAAGGACGCTGCACTGCAGGTCCCAGGGTTGCAGGAGAATGTCCACGTCCATCTCATTGTCGCAGGTCTGGATGGTGGATCCAGACTCGCCAAGTCGGTCTATAAGGACCCAGTAAAGACATTGGAGGAGTTTAGAACTCGCTCGAAGAAATACCTTGAACTAGAGCAAATGGAGATTGCAAATGCGCAATCTGATGAAGTCAAAGAACATCCCGTGAGAAAAAAGAATTCGCTCGTCAGAAGAGCATACAAGTCTACAAAAGCGCACTCATAGGTTCATCCCGACTACCCGGATACCCAGGTAGCGTGGCTGAGGGGCAACTGTTATGGACCCATATGATGGGCCCATTAAGTAGTAAGCCCAACAAGGGGCAATCCAAGATATGGATTGATGCTAGTCAAATCCTACTAATCTTAGTGTCAGCACAACTATCCACTTGATGTGTCAGCATAGCTATCCAAACTATCTACAGGTAAACTCTATAAATACCAGGGCAAACCCTAAAGGTACACACATTTTCTCTCCCATTGTTATGCTGTCACTGTGCACACACACACACCCCATTGGCTAACGCCACTATAGTATTCTGTGCACAGTGATCTTCTTGACTCAAGGGTATCTCCCTCATAGATACCTTGGAGAGGGCACTAGATCCAATATTAACATACTAGCCTGACTGGGCTAGACATCTCTGTCTCAAGGACAGAACAGGCTCCTTCTCTTATTATTTGAGAATCTTCTCCATCTATAAATGCCCCTCTTCTTCATTGAAGAGACACATTTTGCACATTGTTTCCTCTTGTTGAAACTCTGCCAAATTTCACTCACTAAGTTCCTGTGTCCTCACACTTCTTGATTCTCACCCTTAACGTGAGATCCACTCACATTGACTCCATTGTTGATCTTAAGTTCATACCTCTAACTCACTAAATCACTGTTACATTGACACACTACATTCTTGGGAGGAACAAATTTATGCCCACCACCCAAACAATTCATCTATGACCTTATAAAGAGATGTCTTCCCTAATCTAAACATTCATTTATTAAAAAAAATATATTGGCAATGCCAATACTACTTGGTGCTTGTCCGCGCTCTCTGGTTCACTCATATAGTGCACTCTAGGAACAATTCGATTGTGATATTAGAGCTAAGGTTGCTTTTGATGTATATTTGGAAGATGAAAACAACCATAACAGTTTGATACATATTGAAGATCAATACAGACATAACAATATAGGCTTAATAATTAAGTTACAAAATATTTTGTTATATTATTAGCTGTTTGGCGACTAATGTACATGACTAATTTTTTTGGGTTATATTTATCTTATGTTGTAGAAAAATTGTTGTCTGATGTTATAGAAATAAAATTACAAGTAGGACTCACATGTGAGAGGAGAAAGACAAAATAAATGTGAGATCCAGCTTCACTTTGTGTGTGTAAAAAACTTGTTTATCTTATCCAACATAAGATAAATATAACTCAATTTTTTTATTATGTATTTTTTTGAGCGGCCTGGAAGCAGGGATATCTCTTATTAATGAGTTAAGTGATAATCAATCACAATAGAGATAATGTTATACTTCAACTTAAAATATTAAGACAATGGCCTGTTTGGTGTGACGTATAAGGCATGATAGTATAAGCTTATACTATACGTTATGATATTTTCAGTTGTTTGGTGTGACCATCGTATAGTATAAGCTTATACAGCATAATCCTTTAATACATCAAAATGATGTATAACTTAATCCGGCCTAAGGGTGAGGGATAAGGCCTGATAAGAGATTGATGTATTAACATCGTTGTCCAATGTAATTCTCAAAAATTAATATATTATTTTAAAATTAATCTATTAAAATAAAAATTTAATTTTTCAATATATTAATTTTTAAAATATTGAATATTTTTTTTTATAAAAATTAATTTATATTTTGGACACACTGATCAATAAATTTTTATAAAAATTAATATCATATGACATTTTTTGAAGAATTATATAAATTCTTTATTAAAGGATATTTTTATTAAAAATATTTATTTTTATCATATATAGTATTATACAGTGCATTACCAAATACTAGATGATATTTTCTTATGCAATATATTATTTTATACAATACCGTGCAAAACGCTGGATAATATTAAAATTCAATCAGGTCTTATACTATCAGGTCTTATACTATCAGGTTTTATCCTATACTATGCGCCAAATATGCCCGTTTATTGGTTCTTCCTTTTATTTAGTCCTCACTCATTTCATTTCTAACCAATGTAGGACTTTACAACTCACACTTCAATTTCCAAGAAATAAAAGAATTGATGTTATTAATCTTTTCTTCTATTTGGGTTGATAAGATTTTATAACTTAATTTAATGGATAAAAAAAAATTAAAAATTTATGTTTTCTCTTAAATTACTTTTTAACTAATACTTATATTATTTTAAGGATTTAATGTTTCTTCATCAAATATGAAATAACTTTATCTTTTGTATACACATGGAAATGATTGAACTCCTTTTTTTCTTTTTCTTTTTTGTTCTCTCTTCTCCTTATAAGGCTCCATCCACTTCCATAGTTTCATTTATATGTATTAGAA